TAATTTGAAAGATTGTAGTCTACAAAGATTGTAGTCCCTTTCAGAGTGTCAAATTAGCTGTAATAAACTGAATTGAATGTTTTCTATTTTGTATTTAATAAATCCATTGATTTGAAATCCCTTTGACTACTGTACATTTTTGACAATACAGACATTAGCTATGTGGTGACTGCATCCATTTCAGATGTGTAATAATGGTTTTTCCCAAAGGCTTGTTTGTTATACTTTATAGTTCAGCCTTGGCTGAAAATTAGTCTTTGGTCTCGCTTAACATTCAACAATGACAATACAATCCACATATCACATAAAATAAATGCTTAATACATTCATCCCTCCTAAAAACACAGCAGTCCTACACTTTATTCAAGAGACTTGTTGCATATGGCACAAAGGTTTGTTTATAAATTGCTTTAGTTGCTTTCAGTGTCCTATAACTGCATCCAGATGGTAACAATTCGAAGGAATAGTTCAGAGGGTGTGTTTTATCTCCACTTATAGCCAAAGCTTTCCTCCTAACTGCCATTATTTTACTTGCCATCCTTATGATCCTGTTTAATTTTACTTTATTTACAGACATTATTCTCCCAAACCAAGCCGTTATATTATACCCTAAAACACTTTCTATTAAACTAATATAAACTCTTTGTATAACACCTTGGCTAACAGAAAATTCTCTCAATTTCCGTACCAAATATAACCTCTGATTTGCTTTTTTACAGATAAAATCCTCATTACCAGATAAATTCAGCTTACAATCAATCATAGTACCCAAATACTTAACCTTCACAATTTCCACTGGTTGATCACATAATGTCATTTCTGTTAAGGGTTCTGGGTGATTTAAAATCAACTCTTTTGTCTTCCCAACATTTATCAGTAGAGAACTTGCTTTTCACCATTTTTCTAATTTCAAAACATGCTCGTCATACTCATAATCAAAGCAATCTTTCCATAAGAGTACAACCAGTGCCATATCGTCTGCATATTTCTATAATTTATAATTTGTACTCTGAATTTGCATATGATTTGTATAGACAGAAAATAATAGGGGAGGCAAACCGCATCCATGAGGTGCTCCTGTATTTAGAAACATAATGTCTGATTTAACCCCCTGACACAGACTTCTTGTGGTCTATCTGTTAAAGGGGTCATCGGATGCTCATTTTGCACAAGATGATATGATTCTTTAGGGTCTTAATTAAAAGTCTATAACATACTTTGGTTAAAATTTCTCAATGTTAGTGTAAAAAACACCTTTTTAAACCTGTCAAAATCAGCTCTGTTTTTATCAAGCCATTATAGTCCATGTTGCTTTAAATGTTAATGAGCTCTGCTGGCCCCGCCCCTCTCTTCCGAGCTGCTGCTGACTGTTTACTTTAGCCGCATTCATCGTGAAACTTGCTAATTAGCGCATTATTAGGAAAGGTGATTTGCAAAGATTCATAAAAATATAATTATAGGATGGATGTGTACACACTTCCAACATACATTTATGTTCAAACAACTTGAAAAGTGAATTTTAGACTTTTTTTAAGACATTTTTAATCAAGTGAATTATTACTCCGTTCACTCCTAAAACTAAAAGACGTTCTAAAAGTAGATGTATCTGCATCGTATTAAATCAATGAAAACAACACGTGCATTGGCCTTTACTTGTTGTAAATGACTAGCAATTGTATCGACCATAGTGAGTGTAGCATCCTCTGTCCCTCTTTGTGGCTTATATGCAAATTGCAATACATCTGATATGTACGATTTAAGGTGATAACTAATGACACTTTCCATGCATTTAGCAAGTGTTGATGTCAAGGCTACGGGGCGAAAGTTTTCAAATTTTTTCGCCCCCATTTTTTTAGGAATGGGTCAATTTCCACATATTAGGCACAGTCTGAGAGTTTAATAAAAACTGAAATAATTTTGTTAAAGTGTCAGTTAATTTATTCGCACAAACCTTTACAACATGGCCTCTAAGGCCATCTGGATCTGGCAAGTTACAGCAGCTGATTTGCTTAAGACACATTCTAGTGTGTTCGCCTATCAAGCAGAATCCTGGCACCAGTTTCTTCAACCTTATCTCTGTTACCAACTATATCATATCTTCTGTAAAACATGTTTAAATCATTAACCCATTTTAAAATATCTGTCTATAATAAAAATGTTTTGCACCTTTTAAGTCAAGCCCCATCATCTTATTTAACCCTTGCCAAGTACTCCTCTTTAATAAACCATGGCTTGTTATTTGAAAATATTTTAACCACTTCAGTATCAATAACAGTCTCTTCACAGAATTGAATATAAGAAGTGATACAGTCTGATAATTCATGAGGGTCTCTGCATGAATCAAAGAAAACATCCCGGTTTGTAGTGCAAAAACAATCCTGTAACATGTCCTCTTTATCGTTGCTCCAAACCTGGATTTTCTTTTCCACCGGTTTCTCATTTCTAACACGTTGTCTGTATTTTGGCAGTAAATGGATCACCTTATGAACCGATCTGCCAATGGGTGCTGTACATATTGCCCTATATGCATCCTCAAAGTTACCATAACACAGATCCAATGTGTGTGAGAAAATGGTTGAGCAATCAATATATTGCTGCAGGATCGGAAGAGTCTCTCTTAATAAAAGAGTATTAAAATCCCCCAGTATGAAGACTGGTTGATCTGCTGACTTTGTCAGGATCCAATTAAAGCACTCTGCAATGTGCTCTGCTGCCTCGCCATTATTAGGTGATACGAAATGTTTTTGTATACAGCTAAACGCGTCTCCATGTGAACAGGGCCTCAGACAATAACAAAAGGTAAAGGATTGTTTTTAATCTCCACATAATTTAGCATAACCCTGTCAAATCCATGCCACATATTTGCAAAAGAAAGTACTGAGCAAAAAAAGTAAAAATAAATAAATAAAAAAATTGTATAATTAATTGCATACTAATGATTTTAATATCAAAATTAGTTTGATAAAATAAATATAATTAGCACATAATCCAAGTAACACATTTTTATATAATATGATAAGGTATATTTTTTATAAGGTGCATGAGGATATCTTACACTGTGAAAGTAATGTTCTGGGATTAATTAGCTGCTTTAAAATGTTTAAACTGCAGAGGGTATCAGAGCCTTCACAAAACAAGCATCAATTATCTTCTAACCACCAGTTTCCCAGGTGAACAATATTTCTTATAATTAGTCATTTGCTCTAATTGGCCTGGTGAAGGCCTATAAAATACACTTACCTTCAGTTGCATGTATGTTTGGATTTGTTGATTTTGTGTGGTGGTTTGAGAACGTGAACATTGGGCTTTTGGAGTACTTGTGGTTTTTTGTCATGGATCAAAGGTGGAAAAGGTGAGTTTGTTCATTCAATCTGGGTTTGTGTATGACTCTGAATACATTTGGTAATGTTTATTTTTTTTATTTGTAGATTATCCTTGCTAGTAATCATCTTGGTATTTTGGAGGAATGCTGATGGATTTAAAGGGGAGTTTGTGCCCCTCCCTTTATTTCAAGGATAAAGGGGACTTGTGTACAAAAGTCTTCTGTTTTGTTTAATTCTATAGGTGGAGCTTATTCCAGTGCCCATCATGGGTGGGGTCAGCCTTCTGATGCTTTCTCACCTCGTGCTGTACAAAAGTCTTCTGGTTTGTTTAATTCTACAGGTGGAGTTTCTTCCAGTGCCCATCATGGGTGGGGTCAGCCTTCTGATGCTTTCTCACCTCGTGCAGTCCAGTCTTCTATGTCAGAGGTCCGTTTAACTGGGTTTTTGCCTGTTGAAGAAGTGGGCTCCAGTTTGTTCCCTAACAAACCCCTGAAAAGCAAGTCTAAGTTGAATCTACTTCAGTTTGTCAAAGGTGGTTCCAGCAGCTATCAGTCAACATCCCATGCCCAAACTGCTCCAAGCAGCTCTGTCTCAGCTTCCTTGACTCTGTCCCTGAATCAACAGCCTTCAAGCAGTTTGGCATCTTCTGGATCAACCATTCCAGGTGTTGCTGGTGGATTAAGTTTGGAGACCCAATATGCTGCAAGTGGTTTAGGACAAGTTGTTTCTACCCTAGGAGAGAGTAGTAGCTATCCTGCTAAGCTTGGTGTTTCTGGCCAATCCACCAGTGACACTTTGCATGTGTCCAGCTCCCAGGAAACTGCTGTTCAACTGGCAGAAACCTCTTTGCCGGTGTTCTCGAAGAAAGTCTCCTACAGCAGTTCATCTGCTCCAGGTGTCACTTCCACTTCTCGGAGTAGCCCTGCACTACTTTCACAAAGCTTGGTTCAACCTGTATCTTCTCAGGGTCAAGTTGGTTACAGTGGTTTGTCTCAAGGTGCCTCTAATCAGTATACCCCAGACTCCAATACCATGCTAGGTTCCGCTTCTAGCCAGCCCAGTGGTGACCAGAGCTC